AAGCACCCAAGTGTATCTTTAGGAAAATATTTAGCTGAAATTAATGAAGTGCCAACACTTGGGCTGCTCACTTGAATTAGATAAAATTATAGAAGGTGTAACAGTATACTTAATTTGTTCTAATGTTGTTATATACCATAAGTACTCATTTGAACAGTGAGAATAATGCAGACAAGGTGTGAAGTTTCCAGACATTTAAAGCTTTGGCTCTAGTACAATGTGATACAATCTGAAACAGAAGTTCTTTTAATAAGTCAATTCTTTCAGTCCTCCTCCCCAAAAGAGAAAAAAAAAATCACCCTGCATTGCATTTTGAGAATGCTCAGTGATACATAATGGGTAGTTCCCAGGAGCAAAGAAGAGAACAATTAGTGCTCTAAATTTTTCATAAAAATTCAATGCACTTTTTATTTAAAACTTAATGGCTCAATATTGGCAAGCTTTAGGATTATTTTATATTTTTTCCATAATGTAAATTTATATGCACTTTTTACAGTCCTTGCTTTATGTAGGCAGTTGCAATAGCTTGTGGGCCCCACAGGACAGGAAATCTGGGTTCTGTTGTCATATTGGTCTCTTATGTATGAAAGTGTAATAAGTTACTCTTCATTCTGTGTCTTAGGGTTACTTCAGCTGCTGTATAAGAGCTCAGCACTGTTGTCATTATTAAGTGGAGAAGTAATTTCGCATCTTAAATCCTCCCCCTCCCACACACATACACACAGTCTCTCTTATAATTCCCTGTACCCCCTTTCCCCACCAACACAGAATACTTGCCCCTTTCCCCTTCTGGCTCCTCTGACTAACTCCTCTCCTATCCACAAACAGCTTGTGTTCAAATTTCCTACAAAACACCACCCTCCTGTTTCTGGAAGCAAGGAACATCGCAAAGGGGGGGCATAGGTGGTGGGAAATGCTCCATTAGATAGCAGAACAGGGGATATTTAGATCAGTGCTGGTGGTTGGACTGTGCCCAACCTGTGAGGTGCACATGGAAACAGGCTTGTGTTGGAAAGCAGTACTGAGGAATTTATCATCCAGTTTAGTTCTTTCTAGTAACAACTCCATGACTGAGAGGAAGCCCTCCCTTTTTCTGTATTGAATAGATCCCTAGAAAAGTCCATTTAGTTTTAAGGCTAGGGACAGAAGTTACACACACACCAGTTTAAGTGATCAGAAACCAATTTAAACCTGTAGCAGAACAGAAGTTTAGCGCACTTAGACAGGGAGTATCACCTGTCTGGACCAGCTTGAGATGCATCTGTGGATCCATGACAAGCTATGACTGGCCTTGCTGGCTACGGTCTGGCATTGGTGGATCATGTTCATCTTGGAGTCAATAATGATTCCAAGATCCCTTTCTGCCTCTGTGCTTTCAAGGAGGGAACTCCCCAGCCTGTATGTATGCTGTGGATTCCTTCTCCCAAGGTGTAGCACCCTGCATTTGTCTATGTTGCACCCCATCCTAGTATCATCTGCCCACTTCTGTAGTCTGTCTAAATCTATTTGCAGCGTCTCTCTCCCTTCAGGTGCATCCACCTCGCCCCACATCTTAGTGTCATCAGTAAACTGCGACAGTGTGCTTTCCACCCCCTCATCCACGTCACTGATGAAGGTGTTAAAGAGTGCGGGCCCGAGGACTGAGCCCTACGGTACCCCACTGCTCACATCTTGCCAGGTTGAGTACAACCCATCCACCACTACCCTTTGGTGTGCCCCATCAGCCAATTTTTTGTGCCCTGCTCCTCTGCTTCCCAGCTAGAGCACTATCACACCTCAGGCTGGCAGACGAGGGAGTGGAGCAGGGGAACCCACTCCCCTGGTGGCACCAGACCCCAGTCAGGTGCTGCCTGGCATGGGGTAGGGGGGAAGCACATGGCATGAGCTTTACTCCCCCTGCCCACCTGGAGCTGGGAGCCAGGCTGAGGAGGGGTCATAGCTGGGGGACTCAAGCTCAGGTCCCAGCTCTGGGTGGGTGTGGGGAGTAAAGTCCCCTCTCTAGGCTTCCTCCCCCTCTCCCCCACACTGGGAGGCACCCAGCTGGGAGGTTTGGTGCTGGGCTGGGGAAGTGAGTTCCCTGCCAGCCCCCTCCTCAGCTGGCTGAAAAGCTGAGGAGGGGGCATGGCTGGGGGAATCAAGCCCGACTCCCAGCTCCTGGCACCCAGCTCCAAATGAGCAGGGGGAGTAAAGCCCCATCCTGCTGGCTGCCTCTGCCACGCTGGGCAGTGCCTGGCTGAAGTCTGTTGCCAGGATGGGGGATGAATTTGCCCCCACCTTAAAGTCTACAGTCTAATATTAAGTCTTGTAACACGGGGGGAATCCTTTCTTGGTACTCGTGGTAGGGCTCAGGGAACTCTGCCAGGGGCAGGGAGCCTCCTCTGAGGCTAGAGGCCCAGGCAGCCCCTGGCTGGAGATACTGTTTCCCCTGGGGGGGACAGGCATGTGCTGGGCAGCCAGTCAAGGATGAAGCCTGCGTGGGTGGGAGAAATGCTCTAGTGTCCCCCAGCTACTGGTACAGGCCCCTGCAGGGGGCTGGCTCCCTTTCTAGTTTCAAAAATGGGCTTGAGTTCACTGTGTTCTCAGTTCAATCTACACAGTTCAGAGAAACCTGCAAAAATTGAATTGATTCAGTCTAGGACTTTTTGACTGTCTGTATTTAGCCTAAAAGGACACTTCTCCTTTTAACCTTCAAAGTTTATTTTATCTGTAGAAATGTTTCTGCACCTCTCAATTTTCAAACATCCACCATACGCACCGAGAAGTTCTCATTTGCAAGTGATCACAATGAAATGCAAATCACCTAACTTCAGATGCTGGGCAGCTATGTGTGCACACAGAAGCAAGGAAGGTGGAGGCATTACTACGGCCTGTGGGCAGCTCTGACTCACTTCTCAGTTAAGCACGTTGCTATTATGTTGGTGTAAAACGTGTGTAGTTTGAATCTAGGATGTGAAAATGACAGGGTTACAGTGGTTACAGCACCTTGGTACCACACTTAACAGCCTATAACTGGAACAGGCAGACTGCCCACCTGAGGAGTCAGCTTTATGTTTTCAATCAGATCCTAAAATGATGCCTCCTGCCTACTACAACCATCTTACTTTAAAAACCAAGGAAAGAATTATCCAGATAAATCAAAGTGCCTGCCATTATGTTTTCTATATGTACTTCACAGATAAATGAAAAGCAAACAACATCTTCCTTAAAATAAGGAGCCCATATTCCATACCTCACTGAAGCACCTATAAATCTTCCCCAAAGATCATAAATGAGATAAGCCAGTCAATATAATATTTGGGGGTTCCAAAACCTAGAGCATCTATGTATTTGTGATGGTGGTATGACAGGGAAAAATCATCAGAAATAAACTGCATCAGCCATAAACCATGAGAAAAAGAAGTATAACATGCTAAAACCAGTTAAGCCTCTCAAAATGCTGAAATGAAACACATTTGTTGTTATCCCAGTACTGAAAAACACAGTAAAACATCATTTAGGCTCAGATCCCAAGATGCATAGACCCTAGTGTCAATGTCACTCCACACAGGTGGAAAGGTGTATATGTCATCTTGCAGGATTTAGAGCTTATTCTTATTATGAACTGCCTTGGGCTTACATTAGGGTGTCTCAAAGTCAAAGGCAAGAATGCTGCTCAGAAATAACACTGAGAATGAATGTAGAAACGATTTTAAACCATATTTCTATGAATTTTCTCCAATACATTTTAGTGTATTGTATATTTTATACTTTGAGTAGTGAACTCCCCATAAATGTTTCCTTTAAATACATTTTTTAAATTAAACAAGAGCATGTGAAAGGAGGACTGTACTTCAAAATGAACTTCTTTTTTGCCCTGTTATAGACTAAATCACACGGAATTCTCTACTATTTTTAAACCATTGGTCTGGGAGAGATTATTATAAATCCCAAAGCCTAAAAGAAGATTTTAGATACGTTGTCCCACACATAATCTGGGGCATTATTAAATGGGAGCTCAAAATACACATTATGCCGTGGCTGCAGGTTAGCCTTTAAATATATAAGCATTCCCTCTTTAGCAAATGTTATTCAAGGAAAATGTTTGTTGTCAGATGTCAGACTGTCAAAACCATATAGGAAATACAATCTGAATTTGAGATGTAACAGGCCCCTGGCACATGTTCGTTTAATGATATGGTCGGATCTGATCCCAGAACACAATAATTGCACCTCCTGCCATGCTACATGTGAATGGCAAGAAACACAGTTGGTGTGATCCAGGATCAAATCCCAGTTGTGCCATTACTACTTGCTGGCACAAAAGATCAAAATCCAAGGCTCTACCTGGACCAGCAAATTGAAAGAGGATTGCCTGCAGGTTCAGCTAGACCAACAATCAGCTGGTTGTCAGCTGGCTGCCGGACCCCACTCCGACTGAGACAGCTCTAGTGCTGGTCTGGGGCTGACAATCAGCTGACTGTCAGCCATGCCTGGGACAGTCATAGCTCTGGACAAGACCCTGGACTCCAGTTCAAGAAGTGTCAGGCTGCCAGGTAAAGGAGACTGGAGGCTCCTAGCAAGAGCTGTGGGGAGCTGAAGGGCTTCTGCCACTGGAAACTCTAAATTCCACGGGAAGCCTCTGATCCCCTGGTCTCAGCAGAGCTGCCAGGCATGGGACTCCCAGTTGCACACTGGCTTTTTAAAGATCCAGGTTGCAGTGAGCCCAAGATTGGGGAGGCTTCCCTGGAGCTGCCCCAGCCCAAACCTCTATGGTCAGCTTCATAGGTCAGCTCCAACATGCCACAAATTTAATTTAAGTCATGATACCAATGAGCCACAAAAATTTTAAATATTCCACATACATTATGCCATAAATTGGCTTTAACTTGTGACTGGGTTACTATTTATGGCACAATTAACACCTTAACTGCATCTTATATGTAACGTGTACCAGGATCCATAGTGTAGGGATAGTAATGGGCCCACTTAGTCATCTCCCCAGATTGATATAATATTCTCACCTGGTACTCCATCTTTCACCCAGTAATCAATGTCTGTTCCACCACTACTTTCATAAATATTTGTCACGTTGATAGGCTGCAACAGCTGCATGATCTCTTTCATGATGCCACGAGCTTTATCACTGCCAGTAAAACCCAGGCCAGACGGCATGAAAGTGCCCTCATCAGATTCCATGACAATGTCGAAGTTGGAGATGTTGCCCTGAACACATGAAACACATTTTAATACATGTTCTTTCTACTTTTAACCAGTAATAATAAAAACACCTTACATGTTCCTTTCAGAGCATGCACCATTAAAGCTAGAGAGAATGCAGTTGGGAGTACATATGAACCACATAAAATAGAAAGCCTCGTTCTTCAAATAATGCCGAGATGGTGGAAGGCTACTATAATATGACCAGCCTGGAGACTTCAACTCATTGTAGTACTAATGGAATGTAGCCAAGTAGTCCTCACAACACCCCCTGATGGGGCAGTCAAGTTGACACTCTTGTCCCCATTTTCATTTCATTCACTTTCACCCTCTCCTTCAATATGAACAATACAAATTCTGTTGCAAAAAGGGAGGCATCCACAAAGGAAAGTTCATTTGAGGATTCCAGACATTTCCCCTTCAAAAGCATTTTAAATATTTACATATTTTTCATTAATTCCAAGAGACAGCTACAGGACTGCTATAGTTGGAGTTGGTCCTGCTTTGAGCAGGTAGTTGGACTAGATGACTTCCTGAGGTCCCTTCCAACCCTGATTTTCTATGATTCTATGACTTAAGTTTTTAAAAAACCTACAGAAAGTTCAACTTAATCTTAAAGGCACTCAAACTTTTAAAGGAAATTCTTTATAAGACAGATTTGAATTTTAAGACTGAATATCATAGTTGTACTTGATTTCAGGGTGTACAGTATTTTTAGCATTTATTTTAACTAGCTGGGATAATTTAGTTTCCAAAAGCCAGTTTCAAACAATAATGTTGCATTTGCCCTTCACTTAAGTTGGTGGGGGCATTCAGTTATTAAAACCTAACTGGAATAAAATATTTATGATTTTTAGAGGTAGAGAACTTCACCTCTTTTTGAGAGCCACTTGGCTATTCATGAGAATTAATGTAGATTATGGCAATGCCCATTAGAACTGGCTATATTCTGAACTGCCTCAAAAGCACCTAGCAAACTTTTAATTTAACTTATATAAGACTGGAGATATTACATCTGTTCACATATCTAGTCTGAAAAGTTCATGGCGGCCAATAGTTATTGTTCCAAGAAAAAGGAGTTGCTGAACAGTCTGTGCTTTGAATAACAGACCCATGCTATTAAGAGGTTATATAAACTTCAGTTCAATAAAGAACCTCTCATACATTTCTGGTTCCAAAGTCAAATGGAATCAGTGGTAGCTATGAAAACGATCTCATACAAATATCACCACCTGTGAACATTCAAAAGCTTGTGCCATGTTTTAGAAACTGAGCTGCACAATATGCTGTGCGCACTCAGTGTACCTTTTTATTGTCCATGACTGCCTTCTAACAAGAGAAAATGATTGCAAACATGGCAGAGGTAGCTCCTAATTTGAGAGCATACATGCAATGAGTTAAAAGTGAGGGAGGGGTGTTTTTCATTTGTTTGCTTGTTTATCTTAATGAAAAAGCTTTTGAACAATCTGAATGTAAGATGTCCAAAAAGTTCTCTGTTAGTTTAAATATATCCCCAAATGCTGGACCAGATGGGTGAACAATAAATGAAAGACCTATCAATACATATCTACTGCCACAAAAATCTACACTCCCCACAACCAAACTGTCTGAATCCATGGACCATCCACGTGTCTATCCCAGACTGTGGTATACCTCATCCAGTGATCCAAATGCTTTCATGGCACCTATGTGGGTGAAACCAAACAAAAACTATGCACTAAAATGAATGAGTACTGAAAAAAAAATAAAGGACAGACACACTAGCTAACAGGTAGGAGAACACTTTCCATATAAATATCACAACCTGTTTGAGCTCAGAGTTCTGGGTGTTCAAAAGAAATCTACCTAACACCCTTACTAGATGACCTGGGAACAGAAATTCATTAGCCTATTGGACAGTAAGGGTGTTGTTACACATTACCTTTCACGCGGTTAACTTGACTTGGAAGCGGTCCCCCAGCATCCCAGGAGGCACCGTTCCCAGTGAATACCGTAACAGGGAGCCAAAGGCTCTTGTTACTTCAAGGGCAGAGGAGCAGCAGAGAGCCTCAGGTGGGGAAAGCTGCTCATGACCTGCCAGAGAACCGGTACTTGGGGAGTTATTTATCACAGAACTAGCTGTGTTGCAGTAGCACCATGGACTAGAGCCTTACATAGGAGACAAATAGGAGCACAACAGAGACAGGCAGCAGTACATCACCCTGACGTTGAGGAAGAGGCTGAGCCAGCAAGCTGGATCAGAAAATGCTTGTGGCAGCTCTGAAAGACACCTGACCAGCAAGAGCAAGAGCCAGGGCCAGTGACGTATATAAACACAGGCCTTGAGTCAGGAGGATCAGTCTAGCTCTGGAGGCTGCTGAGGCTCCAGAGCAAGGGGAATACAAGAGCTCTCCTAACTGGCACAGGGGCTATCCTGAGGAAGGCAGACAGAGTGCTGATACCCTACAGGGGAATATTACCTGGGGTAAGGGGAAGCCTTGTTATGCAGGCAGGGAGCTGTTGTTTGCATTTGGACCCATGGGGGGTTTAGTCTGCATTTGCCAGGAGGCTTACCACTCCTGCTCCCTTACTTTCCAGACATTTGGGGTTCACCCCATGCCCCTGGCCCCTCCCAGAGTCCCTTGCAGTTCACCCCACCTGTCCCTGGTACCTTGGGACTCAACCCTTGCCTCATGGTTCCTCTAGCCCCTTAGAGCTCACACACCCACTGACCCATAGGGGCTCACCCGCAGCACCCCCATCATCTGGATTGAGGCCTCACCAGCTGCCCTTCCACTCCAACCTGGATCAGGACCCACTGACCCACGTATCTGCTTCTCCTCATGGTTCCCCAGCAGCTTCCCACTCACAGAAGCCTCTGGGGATGGGTGAGACCCAAGCAGAAGTTCAGTTAGTAGGGCCCCAACCTAGTCGGGAAGATGCCAGAGTGGGGCTTGCACATTCTTATCCAGACCAAGGGGTAGGGCTGTGTGAAATTTCTCTGGCTGTTTCGTTTCAACTCGTTTCATGTCCGCAGGCACCACCCCCTTCTCCTTGTTCTTCCTCAGCCTGGCACCCCTTTTGCTCCAAAGCCCCTGTCCCCCCAAAGCAGAGGCAGGCCACCCTGGAACAGTGGGGAAAAGGTGGACACAAAGGGGGGTGCATTGCAAGGGTAAGTGAGATCACCCAGAGCATTGGGGAGATGCTTGCTGTGAATGGCCACCTCTTCTCCTTAATTGAGTGACCAGGGTTCAGGCGGCTCATGGTACTTGTGGCCCCATCATACCAAGTGCCCGTATGCACAGCCTTCAGCAGGACAGTGGTGCCTTCCCTGTATGAGGCATGCAGGGAGTACTTGAGGGAGGAGCTGCACAAGGCAGGTTCACAGGTGGTCTTACACTTCACCTTGGACATCTGGAGCAGCCAGGATGGAGATCACACCTACCTCTCCTTCACAGGGCACTGGTGTGACCAGTCAGGCCGTCAGTGGGCACTCCTTCAAACCAAGATGATGGATGAGTCCCACACAGCAATAGAGATCATGGTGGTCTGTGATGCCAACTTTATTGGCATCCGCTGTGTGGTACACAAGTTCCACCTTATTGTCAGAGATGCCTTGGAGAGACACAGGGCTGCTGGTGACAGCGTCAGCTCCACCAGCAAGCTCATTTAAAAATGCAGGCTACTTCCACTGGAGCATCAAAGGGGGTGGGGGGGAGAGATGCTGCAGGACAAACAAGCAGAGCTGAACATCCCACAGAACAAAATCATGCAGGATGTGGAGACTTGGTAGAACTCCACATACCTCATGCTCAAGCAGCTGGTGGAGCAACAGAAGACCATCCATCAAATGGCCTTGCTCGGGAAGTTTGGGATCAGTGGCCCCTTTAACCGAGCTGAGTGGGGTACCATCTCCCAGATCTTGGTGGTCCGCAAGCCCTTCCTCGAGGCCACGGAGACCCTGGCCCTCCTTAGCCAGGTGATCCCTGTAGTGAGGGAAATTGACAGTCAAATGGAGAGCTTCCAGGGGATCAATGTTCCTGGCTGGGGCAAGCCACTGCCACCAGATGTCCAAGCAATAGTAAGGTGGCTGAAGGAAGGCATCAGGAAATGGCTCGATCCCTTGTGGTCCAGTACGGTCCACATGCTGGCTGCCATGAGTGACCAGAGGGTGAAAGGCAGTTTATGCAGCAGCCAAACCCTGGATCAGTGGACGAAGGTGCTGGTGAAGAGAGTCAGGGAGGCAGAATGGCAGAGGCGGGGGGACGTGGAAGAGGGGGATTCATAGATTCATAGATTAAGGGTCGGAAGGGACCTAGTAGATCTTCTAGCCCGACCCCCCGCCAGGGCGGGAGAACAACAAAAAACCCCAAAAACCATGGATCCCACATGGGATCCAGTGTCCCATGCCAGCATGCCATCCACTAGCAAGTCTCCTCCTCCACCACAGGTGCTGCCAATATGGGCCAAGGGCATGGCTTCCATGGTGGGGTTCAGAGGCACCAGACCCCACCATCAGACAGGTGGCACTCAGGCCTTGGTGGCTGCCTATCTCACTGAGGACACGGAGTGCTGCTGCGTGACCCCTTGACCTACTGGGTAAGCTGCAGCCAGATATGGTCAGATCTGGCCATGGTTGCCCAGGACCACCTGTCCTGTCCACCGACCAGTGTTCCAAGCAAAAGTGTGTCCAGCATTGCTGGTGATGTAGTGACACCCCACCATACCTCCTTGGTTCCTGGTCTGGTGGAACAGCTGGTGTTCCTGAAGGTGAACCCCCTACTGCTGGGAGTCCCCAAGCTCCAGGTGCAGATGGAGTGAATGCCACCCTCCTCACGCCATCCACACCTATTTCCTTTTTTCTTGTTTTTAAAACCATTTAATGCCCCACTCTAAGAGCTGGAGGGGGCACTCACTGCATCACCTGCAAGCAGGGGAAGAATACGTCCCTGCTAAGGTTCTGTGCCAGGAACTTGGAGGTATGGGCTGGGGCTATGGGGTAGGAGGCGGCCCCATGTCCTGGGCAT